TCGATTATGCTCTTAATAAAAATATTTTATGGAAATAATGTGAAGGATAAAATTTATGATGCCCTTTTCATCCAGATGCCAGATTTTTTTTTAAACTTGCCCATCAAAGTCAGCTATAACTTCAAAATTTTTCCGACTGCTCATAACTTAGAATAAATATTCTGCACCTCACAAAATTAAGAGAAACAAAGATTCATATTTAATTATCATCAATTAGGTATTGCTCAAGACAGTTTCTAATATACCATACAATGATGGCTTATAAAAAATTTAATTTGTTTAACAAAAAAATTACTAAAATTAAAATCAGACAAAAAAATTCAATGAAAAAATGAAATTATAAAATAATCCTTTCAAATATACTAAAATGAAATGAAATTCATTTAAAGATCTATGAAACTTTTATTTTTTTAAAGTAATCGCAGAAGCGTTTTACTTTTCAACAAATGCAGAAAATGCGAAACATTAAACAAATGTTTTAATTCTTGTCACTTTACCAATTTTTATAATATGTTATATTTTTATGAAATAATTGTTATAGTTTTCATAAAATACCATGGAATAAAATGGTAACTAACTGTAATTCCCTGCCCCCTAGAAAAATTTTAAATTATATTCAGATAAAAGGTAAACTTAAAGGACTATTTAATTTTGAACTATCAGAAACATTCACAATAAATTTCCCTCATTAAAAAGATTTAAACGTATATGATATAGAAAAATAAATAAACACACACGCACACACATGTCTAAAGGAGAACATTTTCATGTTAACTCTTATTCAATTAAAGAGCTCTCATAATATTTTAAATAACTAAAAACAATCAGATATTAAAATAAAACTATTTCTTATATTCTAAAAAACTTTAGCTTTAGGAACATTTACTATCTACCAAACAAAAAATTAATTAAATATTTCAATACTTCTACCTTCATGTGCCCAAATAACTTATAACTAATTTCTAATATTAATGTAAATTTTTCTTCAAAATTTGTCTATGTTACAGATTCCTTTTAAAAGAAATTTTAAAAACGGAGATAATAGTTATTCTATATGGATAAATGACAGCTAAAATATTTTTATGATTTGCTCATGCATTTTGTAAAACAGGCAGGAACTAAAGAGTTACTAATAAATAAAAATTAATGCATTCAGAAGCAAAATTTTATATTTTTTGTACAATCACAAGCTATAACATTTCAGCCATTAACAGAGATGAGGGAACAAGTACGAAAGTACCAACAACCAAGAAAAAACCATAACTTAAATCGACTTGAAACGTATATTTTGAATTTATTTTAAAGCCTTTTAAAACTATTGTATACGAATTCAGCATCAATATCAAAATGAAATAAATTACTGGCAACACTATAACACAACTTAGGTGTTCATATGGCAAGGTAACTGATGTTATTCGAATTATGTACAAATTTACAGCCAGGCTATAAATATTTTTAATTACATGCATATATATATATACTCTCAAAATTCAAATCTGCAAATAAAGAACACTATCTTGAAGTTATATGTTCTTTGAAAAGAATGACGACTGAAATTAATCATTCATGTCTCTGGGAATATGCAAAAATAAATGGGAAGATTTCAGAATATTAATTTTAATGAAAGGTGAACCGTTATAATAATATTAAAGTTTTCAAATACACATGCATGTAAATAACATATGATTGATACTGACGTTTATATTTTAGAAGGGAGAAAAAATTTCTATCTCTTTTCTTACCAGTGTTTAAATCACACTTAACACGTTGACTGCCGTGCGCATTTTACGTGGTTTGCCCATGACGCCAACTTGAAATTTTTATTATGCGATGTATATTATGTCAAAATATTATCTACAGAAAATAATGCGAGTTATATAATCGTGCTTAATGCATTTTTCGTGGTGTGGGTCACCGGTGACTCCCCCCCCAAGATCTGTAGACCATTATTGTGATTTATAATTACAATTTTTATGATTTATTTTTCTTCCAACCATTATAGTAACAATGGTACTATTTAAAAATTTATCAGTATTGATATTTACTCTAATTATGTATTTCACTATTGGTCATGTCGCCGGTGACACCCATGGTGCTGTAGCCAAGTTGAGTGCTGGTCACCGGTGACCCCCACGGCAGTCAACGTGTTCAAATCAGGTATTCAATTATATTACTTCTATTCTTTTGTGGTACCTTTGTTAAAATGTTCTCTGCTAAGAAACACTTGAAAGAAAAGGGAAGATAGGAAGGAACTAATTTACCTAATTATTCTCAAATGATTAATATAATAACTAATGAACAATACAACTGAAGTTTTGCTTAGATATGTTAAATATTTCTATTGCCCGACAACAGGGAAATTAAAACTTATTACAAAAGATTTTTAATTATTTAAAAAGCCTAAGAAACAGCATTATTACTAAAAAAGGCAACATAAATTTTTATTTTCCCCAAAAGCCAATATTGTTAATTAATATTAACAATAATCAATATTGCTAATTAATATTGTTAATGTTTGCCAAGTTATATTTTCTTTAAAAATTTAGGGCCTGCCAGTGGCCGAGCGGTAAAGTTGCTGAACACTGGTAGTTCCGTTCGAGGTTCAAATCCCACGAACTGCTGGCTGCATGGGCGTTCCCATGTTTGACATGTATATGAGTCAGTTTCCTTAGAAAGTCCTCCACGAAGGCATCCCTAACCCTTAGGCAGATAGCACTAGTGAGCTTTGCCATAAATAAATAAACCAAACCAACTTTAAAAATTCTAACAGTCTAAATATGTGGCGAGCCATTTTTTTTTGGCTAAACATAAGCCATTTTTTTTTAACTTAGCCTGTTTTAAAATTTTAAAATTCCTTTGTAAGAAATTCTTTATTAAAGCAAAACTAAACACAATCTTCACTGTACGTAGGCAAAAATGATGCAATTGTTTAATTCTGTTAATCGTTCATAAAAAATATTGTATTCAATCCGTTTTGCTAATCTTTCGATAAATAATATTTGCGATTAGAACCCACTGCTGAAAGGGACCTAATCCTAAAGCAACATTCTGCAAGTCATACCGAAATATTGTTGTTCTTTTTATTAATTAAATATTGTTTTCTTTGCAAGTCATAACGAAATATTGTTGTCTGTTGTTCTTTTTAAGTCCATATTTCAAAGAAGAATGATTGCCAGAACTTCAAATATGCTGCCCTTCTACTTTCAACCCCAATTTTGAGGGTAAGCACCTTAGAGGTCACCCACCCTTTTTTTCTACCACCAAACCATACGAAAGGACTTTTAGCTCGCCACATATTTAGACTGTTCCCCACATTTAGAGTGAATGCGTCTATTCTAAAAGCAAAAGAAAACTGCACAAATTTTCTACTGTTGATTTTAACCATGAGAAATGAAAAATAAATTTGGATAGCCTATATAAGTATAATCTAGGTAAAACCCCAAGCTCTTTAATAAAAATAAATAAATAATGACAAAAATGACAGAAATGAGAAGATGATCAGTCATTGATCAATTAGAGTTCTTTTTTATACTTGATTTCTTAAAAATGTGGCTGGATATCTTGCATACATCATAGCTGCAAAACTTGAAATATGAAAGACCAGACGGTTTTCATTCTGTAATTTTCTTAAAGTTTTATATGGGCAAGAACTCAAATAGAGGAAAATCTTTTATTTAAAAAAATTTTACGAAAGAGATTTTAAAGATGATAAAAATTAAATTAACAATAAATGAGCAAATAATCATTTAGATAAACTTAGCAATGTACTGTATATAGATTCAAAACATAATTAACTAACCTATTAAATAAAAGTAGTAAAATACAAAGATTTATCTATTAGACATCAGTTAAGTGTTCATAAAATGATCTACAAATCTCTGTAATTGATTAAACCAAATCAGAAACTGCAAAATTTATAAAAGTTAAAATATTGCTCTCTTTATGAATTTTGCCTTCTTATAAAAATATACTAAATATGGATTACTGCAATATGACTCCACAATTTTAAATGAGGTTTACATAGCTATTTTTCTAAAACCTATTTTTAAAGCAGTGAATGGTATATTCTGAACTAGCAATGAGAATTTACAAATATGTATTCCCAAATGCTTTTAAATAAATATAATTTATGATCTAAAGTACTTCATTTCTTAAAATGGCTGAAATATTACAAATGGATTTTTAAAATCTAAGCGAGAACTCACTGAGGATGAAAATACACACTACACAGGGGATTTAATAAAAGCATGCATCATTTTGCCACCACCATTTCACCAGAAACAACTAAATAATTTTACCAGGTAACAACACATGTTAGGAAAAAAGATTCTGTACCTTCTGTACAGGGGCTCCTCCAGTTTGCTAAATAAAACGTCACAAGAGTTAGATTTCTTTATGCTAACTTTTAAAAAAATGCTGTCAAAAATAACGCTCGCAAATTAAGATCCCAATCATTATAATCACATTTTACGATTGAAAAAAGGTGAAAGAATAAGAAATCATTTTTCAAATTATTATCTCATCTCATATTTCAAATATAATACAAACCTTAAAGATAAAAATCAAAAGAAATGAGGAAATTCATTAATTATTTTGCTTATTAAAATTTTCAGTTATCCCTTTCTTTATTAGAAAAATAATCCATTTATTAATATTATGATACAAGAAAAAGAAGGCATTTATTAATAATATTGATATATTATCAAAAGTACTATATATCTCCAAAACATATACCATATACATAAAAGAAAATGGAAAGAAGTTTGATACTGATACAGAGAATACAAAATTTAAATAACAAAGAAAAAAAATCAGCAAAATCATAACCAATAAGAACTGGTCTGATTCATGCTAACACTTTTCAGCACTTCAGTGCAAAACAAAGGTGCACAATTAGATTATTAAAGTTATGAAAGTTCAAAGTAATGAAATTTTGTATTAAAATAAAAATTACAACAGAAAAATTCTATTAGCATTGTACAAACACAAAATCATCTTACCCTATCACGCAGTTTTTCCCTCAAGAATAACTGAAGTATTTTAAATGGTGCCTTAAACCATAAAGGAGCAGCAACAATTAAAACCTTTTTCAGTCTTGCTGGATAACCACCCTAATATAAAATAAAACATTTAAATGTGTAAGAAACTACTGTACATTAATATAATATTTCACATCTCATTTCTAAACATTTAAAGGAAACATGAAATATACATTATTCATATCCATTTGGAAATTCATACTTTGGGATACTTTCCTACATTGGTATCCATGGTATTGAAACAGTTAGCATACCTGATAACAAGTTCTGAACATACTTTTGTTGCCAACCCATTGAAAAATGCAGTTACTACTTGCTGCAGCTCTTTGTTGCAAACAAAGCATTTTCCAGTAAAAAAAACTTTAATTTTATAAAAATCCACTCAATGAGTAATCACTAGAGAGACTAAGGCTGTAAGCCAGATTTTCCCAAAGATCTTATTTGGTTACGCCTTCGTGAAGGATTTTTTAAGGGATCTGAAACAGTTGTATGAATACAATGGCATATGAGCAAGCAACATGAAATACAGTAGATACCGCTTAATATGATCATGTCCATTTTGACCTTATTTAATTGTATACAGGGTAAAGATTTTTGACATATAGGGCTGATGTTGGGATTTCATTGGATGGAGGATTTCATTTCAGTTAAGGATACAAGGTTAGATATTTTTGGGGGAAAATATAAAAATGAAATTTTTAAAAATAGACCTATTTTATATAAGCTTTTACAAATGAAATGTGTACATATCTGAACCCCTCTCTTTTTGTATACAGCCATGCTATTGAGATTAATACTCTTTTTTGATATGCTATTTGATATGCAAGTTATATGTACTTATCTTTTTATATAAACCTTTCATTATTTTTGTCCGTCGATGGCAAAAGCCACTTTAATTCACAAAAACTAATTATTTCAACATGTTATGCAGATCAACACATTATGCAAACATAACAAACATAACTTAAAATCATGTTACATAGATCAATACATTATATAAGCATAATCAAACATTATTTAAAAATTTATCCATTTGAGTTTGTTGCCAGTTTCTTGTTAGTTGCTTTTCAGATGTGGTCTCCAAGATTCAGCATTGTTTGTAACTTTCTGTATCTTCAACTTTATGTTTGAGCGTTCTTTTCAAAATTTTTAATGCTTCTCAAGACTCTGCTGTTGTTGGTACAGGACCCGGATTTTCATCTTCGGACTCGATTTCATTTTCATTAATTTCCTTGTTTTTTCTGATAACTTCAAAGATCTCTATATCACTCTTTTCACAGTAAGTCTGAATATTTTCATCGTTTCCCAAATATTCAAGGAAGGTCTCATCATGTATTTCTTTATCATCACCTTTGTCTCCTGGCACACCTTGAGAGGTTCCAGAAATTTGCTTTGGATGGAAGCCTGTTCTAAAACAATTTGAAATTAGCATACTTCACCTCATGTATTTAAAATAACATGCATGGAATCTAAGAGATAAATTGACTTGAAACTAAATGATATATTATTTTTGCAATTTCCTTAGAAGAACAAGCTGCATCAAAAATGGAAGTTAGAATTAGGAGGAAGGAAAACTAATCTTACGTTCTCCAATGAGAAATCAGTTGGATGGGCAGCGCAGTTATTTAACAAGAGTGTAACTTTTTTTTGCTGAGGTTCTTTATCCCATATCAAGAAATCACTAAAAATATTGCTTATCATTCAAGCATTTTTATTGTTGTAATAATAAGTCCAGGCATATGCTTAATGCCCTTCAGACAACCAGGGTTTTTTCCTAGCACTGATTACTAATGCAGTCTTTTTAACTGCTTCATCCACATTACATGTTAACAACACATTTGCATCTTTTTTCTCTGCAAGTCATTTTCTGAAAACAATATTGTTTCTATCTTTCCATCTTGTGAGCCAACCTACGGTCTGGACAAACTCCTCTTCGAGCATTTTGGTGAATTACTTTTGCCTTTTGATACAGGATTTCTCATGCCATTGTGGCGCTCTTGTTCCTGCTACTTTAAGAACTACTTTAAGAGGGCAGTTTCTACATCGGGAGACTTTCCACTTCACTTCTACTTACGTGAGACATTTGCATTTGCCATCAGTTAATCCAAAATTGTCTCCCTTCTTTTCCATAACATATATAACATATATTGTGAAATTCTGAGTTGTACAGAAGCTTCATTTTGGCTGCATTTTGGTAAAGCATCATATTGCTTTAACAATTATTCTTTACCTTTTTATCTTAAGTCTTTGCGCATGGACATTTCGAGGCACGACCAAACAACAAAAGCACAATGTGGATGGGTGAACTGAATGAAATGTGTGAGCAAAAAAAAAAAATAATAATAATAATAATAATACAGATTCTCCTTTGTAGCCTATCTCAAGTCATGATTGGTCCAGATAAGAAAGCATTTGCAGCACCACAAGTAAAATAAATTCAACCTTCAATGAAATGCAACACAGAACCTTGCAACACAGACTTGGGAGTTTTAACAAGTTCAGATAAGAAACTTCCAGCATTTGCACCTCCAGTGAGAAAGTTATTCAACTTTGAACAAAAATCACAAAAGTTGAGACATGACCTTGGGGTTTTTGACTTTACAATTTTAAAAGCGATTTGATTTTGACAAGGCAGTAGCATTGATTTTATTAAGTGGTTATTTTATAATGATATGATATTCATATGAAATTTTTTCCTTGAATTTTGATTTTAATAAGCATTTGATTTATAGATATAATATAAAGCAGTGTTGGGTTTTTTCCAGGGTGTTGTAAGAAAACATAAAAACCTAGAAGAACTTAACAAAAGCTACTATGGAGATTAATAATAGTTTAACTTATTTGAAATTAAATGATATATTATTTTTGCAATTAAATGCAAAGTAATTGAATAATTTGACTTTAAAAAAATCCAGTGAAGAGTTTATTAAAATTCTTTTGCATTTACTGATTGATATTTTTTATAAAATAAGTTGAATCCATAGATCATTACAATTTTAAGATCTTATAAAAAATTTCTTTAAATTTGTATATTTAAATAATAATCTTATTATTTTAAACATGCCCCAGTTTACAAATATTTTATTTTGCATTTTTTCTTTGTTCAAAACCTTTTCCTCTTTCCTTTAATTGGCAGCTCTTGACAAAAACCGCTCTACTTGCTTTACTAAAAAAAGTTTTTATTGGGTCTTTGGAAGCAGACTTGTATTACAATACTAAATTAGCTAAAAAAAAATGTTTTGCTACCTTTTTGAGCACTTGTGTATATAAAATTTCAAAACAGCTGATTTCATGCATAATAACAAAAAATAGTCTGTTCTGTCATGCTGTTTTTATGATAATATAAACTTAAGTTTGTACCAAAAAAAGGGGGGAAGGCTTTCAGTTTGTTCTAAATAGTTATACCATTTTGGTATTTTTGTGGTTATTGATATTAATTGAAATTCAACTTCAGAATCTATCTAAACCCATACATATGACAGTTTCATGCAATTACAAAATATATATTACCAAAAAAAGTATTACTGCAAGTAGACAAATGAAGTTACATACAAAAATAATAATAATAATAATAAATAATTATATAACAATACTACCTAGATAATAAAAAACAGATATAATATTAAATTAATTAAAAAATTAATTTCTTCCATTACAGTGTAAGAAATCTATTCCTTCTGGCTGGGTTTCTCAGCTATTTTTTCATGATCCCCCCCCTCCTGTTGTGGAAGAAACTTGCCAGTACTGAATGAAAGTTCAAAATGTTTTCTTTTTAAATAAAAAGATTTTTTTCAATTAACTTTTCTTTTTACTGCTATATAGTTAGTATTACGCTTTTTGAATATATATCATATTTTTAGTGCTGAAGTCAATTCTTATTTTGTCGTTCTAAGGATCCATACATGTAATAATTTACAAACGTTGACTGAGTAGATATTGATCCATATTTACAAATACTTGAAGTTGTGTAGATGCAATAAGAAGCAATAGTGGCAGATTTAAAAATTCCTTTTTATTTAGTTGGCCAAACATTTTGATAAGCCAAAATTAATAAATTGGCTGCAATAAGCAGGCCTGTTACAGAATTTACATTTTTGGAAACAGCAGTGTTTTAGCGAGTGGAAAAGAGCAGGAAGCAAGTGCATCATCCAGCATGGAGGCTTAGTTCAAAAGGAGAAAAGTTCTGGTTTGCAAATTTTGACTTTACG